TTTTTTTTTTTTTTTTTTTTTTTTTTTTTTTTTTTTTTTTTTTTTTTTTTTTTTTTTTTTTTTTTTTTTTTTTTTTTTTTTTTTTTTTTTTTTTTTTGCAATATATATGTAACTTCTTTTCATTATTGCAGTTGTTGTTGCCTTTTTTCTACCTTTCATATAACACTAATTTTAATTTCTCAAATCTTCCTTTTAAAGTTTTCTCTCGAAATCTTTCTGTCTCCGCTTTCTAACACTTTCTTTTTGAACCGGGACTAGAGGTTCAAGCATACGTCACTTGGCCATAGACGCAAGAACGAATAAGTTTAACTCAATTGTTGTTAAGAAGTGAGTACTGCATAACTGCAAGTTCGCTGCCATCAAAGTGCGATTATGACAAAGTGATATATATATATAGCGGGGAGGAAGTTTATGAGAAATCTCTTTTGGCTCTCTTGTATTTTTGGCTCCATCTAGGATGGGACGACTTGTTTGTGTGGAAGCTAGGACATGGAATATAATTCAAATACAATTTAGCTATTAGGGAGAAATATCTTCTAACTATCTCTCCAATTTCCAATAAATATATATAGTTCGGTGGAGAATATTAGGGAGAAATCTCTTTTGGCTCTCTTCTATTTTCGGCTCAGAGACACTTGTGCTCATATATCCCGTTTAGCTATTAGGGAAAAATCTCTTCCAGCTTTTCGATTCCATTTCTAGCATATGTGTATATATATATATATATATATATAAAAACAACGAAGAGATGATATAATCGCCTACTCACTACTCTAAGGGGATGAGATCAAAATCTCCGAAATGATAAGACAAGTCATGGTGATCAATGGGAAAGACGGATGCATTGCCCCCAAGCTCGGTTAATAATGAATGTTGCAACCAGTGTTTGATTCCATTTCCAACACATATATATAACAACGGATAGAAAAGATATAATCCTATCCGTGTTTAGCTATTAAGGAGAAATCTCTTTTGACCATCTCTCTTATTTTCGACCCCATCTAAATATAATAGTGATGATTTAATCGAGAATATTATGATCATGTTGACAAAAAGTAATAGCTATTCTATCTATTAGAGATGAACCAATCCGAGCAACTAATAGAGTAGTAGGCAAAGATTGATATACACTTTGTGGATACAAAGATTGAAATTCTTGAGGGATATTTTACAACAACTAATCTTTGTGGGCGCAAAATGATATCTCTACTCAAACTTGAGCATCTTCAGATCCTCAAATGATCAAAGAAATGAGTTTCAAAAGCAGAATCAAAAAGCGTCGAGGATTTCCAAGATGAAATCGCTGCAAGTGGGACAGTTCCCGCGGCTAACCATGAATTCCTTCGAACACAGCCTGCAAAATGTATGCCCGCATGGCGCCAATGCCGCGTTCTTATGCTTCACCATGCAAACGCAGCAGGTGAATTCTCCGCCATGCCCGTCGTCTTCATCTTCGTCGTAATCTTCGTCGTCATCGTCTTCGAAGAAATCTTCTCCAAATCCCATTCCGTAATTCGATCCTCCGAATCCCATTTCCTTATCCGTCTCGTGCAATAGGTCCATCAGCGATATCCTTACCGGCTCAGACGACGGTGAGTTCTCCTCCTCCTCCTCCTCCTCCTCCTTCTCCTTCTCCGATGCGGTTGTTGAGTCTTCCTTCTCGTTTTCGTTTTCGTTTTCATCTTCCTTCTCGTTGTTCTCGTTTTGTTCATTGTCTTTTTCTGTAGCTTCCGCGGCGGCTGCTGCTGCATCGGCTGCTTCTTGTGCTGCTACGGCTTCTCTAGCGGACATCATTCTCGACTCTGAGAAATTGAAGTGTCGAGCTCTGTTATCGCGATCTGGTTCCGTTGGATCCGTGTAGTCCATTGCAGAGACACGGATTGAGTTACGGCGCGACATTTGCGGTCTCATGGTTCGATTCGGCGCTGCATCTGGAACTGATGAGTAATCGAAGGACTCATCGTAATGGAACGCGGACGCATCGTTCGGGTTGTTCAATCTGGAAGTCTGTCGAGACATCTGACGGCGAGTGGATTTGGAAGATTCTTCAGACGGACGAGTTGAAGAATCGGCGGAGTTTTTTGACGGAGACGTGCTGAAACGGACTTGATTTCGCTTTCCGGCTGTAGATCGCTTGTCTTGAACAGGAATATCGGAGGTCGGAATCGGAACCGTCGAGACCCAAGCAGAGCCAGCGCGCTTCAGCCGGAGCTTATCCCTAAAGGACTTCCAAGTCCTTCTGTCCTTTCCGAAAAGCCCCTTGCCGACGCTGGGCTCCTCGTCGCGGATTATATCCAGCAGCGTTCTGCCGCGGATTTCAGCGGCCCTTGTAGCGGCCGGTGGCCCTAATCTATTGTTAGCCAGAACGTCGTCCAGAGTATAGCCTGCCAGGCTACGGCCATCCTCAACTATCGACATCTGGAGAATCGAAACAACCTTCCGTGTTCACGAAGATCACAAAAAGGACAGAAATATCACCGGAATGCAGGTCAGTAGAATCAATAGATCATTATATTTATGGTAAAACCTAATTAGTGATGCAAATCGATGAACATCAACAACAGAATCAAGTGAACTTCCACGAATTCCTGCTTTATTCTCTGAGATTGAAAAAAAAAAAAAAAACTCGGTACCTTGTGATTGTTAATCGAAAATCTAACAGGAATTGCTCGAGCTTGGAAGGAATCAAGAAGAAGAAACTCAGGTATTTCAGATCAATTCCTCTGGTCTTTCGATCAATTACTGATAAAAATAGATGGCCATGAAAATCAAATTAAGCTTCAGCAGTTAATGCATTAATCATCTTAGTTTCTTGATCTTGATACAAATAGATGTGAAAATCAAATCAAGCTTCAGAAATTGATGCATTAATCATCTCAGTTTCTTGATCTTGATACAAATAGATGCCATGAAAATCAAATTAAGCTTCAGCACTTCCTGCATTAATCATCTTAGTTTCTTGATCCTGTGGAATTAAAAAAGCATTTGGAAATGGCAGGACAGAAAAGAAACACACCATGGAAGAGTGAACGAGGGAGATCCAATGTTGAATTTGACAGGGAATGGGTTCTGCAAGAACTGTGGGGATTGGAAGGAAGAACAAGAAGAAGAAGGAGAAACTCACAGGTATTTTAACTCAAATTCCCTTGTTTTTCGATTGATTTAATTTTATTTTTTTTGTTGTGTTTGTCGTTAAAAAAATAAAAAAAATAAAAATAATAATAATAATGGGAATGAAGAATGTGGAAGGGAAGCAATTGGTTTGGAGAGGCTGTCCCCAAGTTTCGGGAAGCTTTGAGGTCGTAGAAATTTGTTTAAACAAAGTTTTGTTACATTTTTTTTTTTAAAAGAAAATGCATTTTTAATGAGAAGCCATCAAAGCTTCCTTTGTAACTTTCTTTCAATATTTGGTTGGAAAAAATGCAGTTTTTTTTTTTTTTTTTTTTTTTTTTTTTTTTTTTTTTTTTTTT